AATACCCAGTGAGGTGTAGTGAATAGAGGGACATACTGGGACTCTGGAGATCAGAGTTCAAATCCCCACTTGACCATGGAATATCACTAGGGGTGTGGGACTGGTAAAACCACTCCTTAAATACCTCACTTATCTTGAAATCCCTATTAGGGTTGCTATAAGAGTCCCAACTTGACAGCACTAACTAAACTGTACCATGGGTGTATGCTTGAACAGGGGCACTGTCTTGCACCACGGTTAAGTGTTGGGCGTGATGTAATGCATGAGCACAGTGGTTCCCAAACTTATATAGCCCAGGTGTTATTGGACTACAATTCCCAGAAGCCTTCACCACCTCCTGTGCTAGCCAGGGTTTCTGGGAGTTGCAGTCCAAAAACACATTACCCAAGGTTGGGAACCACTGCTTTAGCACCTCAAAGTGGCTTAAAACATATTTTTGTGGGTGAAAAAAAAATTCCCTGCTCCTTATTCACAAGGATGCCCTGGGCTCATCATACATCAAAAGAGCATTTTTGACCACAAAGAACATTTATGTGTCTTAACAAGAAAGTTTCCTTGTAGCTGAGCTGCATTAATGCAAGTGAGCCCACTGTGGGGGCAGACAGATTTTATTCACACTGCCCACATACTGTAGTTCTGTTTCAATCTGCCAGACCTGTACTGTGCACCTGGTTGTGGGTGTGGTCAGGTGGGAGGACATAGAATGGAGTGGAGTGTGATCGGTTACTAAGGAGACCAGAGAGCCTGTAATAGAGGTTGAACTTAGGACAATTAAGTGGACCGTTGAAAAGGGTGAGAGAGGAGAATAAGTCGTTGAGAGAGAAGTAGCTTTAGTATTAAGTTTACAGTACTTTACTCAGCTTCATCAGCTCTGAAGTTGTTAAACTTGCTGATATATTTCTGGTTCACCATGAATACCCTGGTTTTGTTCAATTGTGCATTTACCCTTTCGGCTGGTTTTGGAAGAAATTTTGAAGAGTCATACTGCTTTTTTAAGCAGATGATTTGAATCCTCCCCTCCTGATGCCACCTACTCACTTCCTAGAGATATATTTTTAAGTTTTAAATAAGGATTGGGGAACCAAAGCACAATATTTGATTTAATGCTACCGCTGGTCATGCTGAGGTACACACAACTAGAGCTGGGTTGCGGTGAAAATGTAATGAAATTACATTAGAGGAGACCGCTACACATATCCCCTTATTCTGGATCTAGGGGCTTTTCAGAGAATGTAGGTGACATTCAGTTACTTTTTAAAAAAAAACTTGTCAGTTTTTGCCTGAATTCTGACACAACTGTCAAATCCTGTGGCACCAGCTCTTTTCAAACGGGGATCCCAGATTATTCATTTGCACACCTCTGATGTCATAAAACCAACCTGAGATGGATGACGCAATCTGATCTTCAGCAGGCAGGCACCGCTGGGCGAGGAAAGAAGAGGAAGGAGAAGTGGGAAGAGGTGCCAAGAACAGCCTGATGAGCTCACATTTACCTCAGATATCATAATAATACTACCATGGACAGCTTCGTCTTGGAGTTGACCTCATCTTCCCAGGTATCAGTACAGAGATGTGGTGAGGGAATTAGATAGGAGAACAATAAGAAACAGAACAGGGAAAACCTGGGGTGAATTCAAATATCGCAATTTGAGCTTTCCTTGCCTGATATATATAGTATAGAAATGAACTTTTAACCTAGTGAAAAAACTGGCAAAGTTTTGTAGTGGATACAAAGCTGGGCTGAGAAGAGACAGGAGACCTATTCAGACATTTGTTTGAACAGAGGTACTCAAAAATGTCCTACTGGCAGGATATGAACTGACCCGTTAGTATTTACTGAGAGAAAGGCTTGAACATGCTTAGACCATGCCTACTGCTCCCAGTATTTGCGTTCTCAGCAGAAGCAAACAAAATAAGGGAACCCATATAGGTATTGTGCACTCACACCCAGATGTTCTTTCCCAGACCCTCATCTTTCTCCATACATACCACTCTTGTGGAACCCAAGCCTAATGAATCCAACATTGAAGCCCCTATCACTAAAAGCTAGTTCCAGTTCTCTAATTGTGGTGGGGATGCACACATAAACTTGGTCCTCTATGACCCCCACCAGCCAGAAGCCAGTAAGAACACATGAAAGGCCGAATATGAGTTAATATAGCTCCTCTAGTTGGGAAGCTTGCTTTGTAATCAAGTTCACCCAAATATGCTTACAAGTTGAGACTGAATATGTGAAGACTTGCCTAACCTCTGAGTGGTGGAGGAGAACATGGGATAGGAGTGGGCAGCTGGTGACTTTGAGTTTACAGATTCAGTGGATCCACTCCAGGTTTTACCCTGAATTTTACAGGAGCTATCCAAGGTCCTGAGCCTGTTGTGTAGATAAGGTTTAGCATCACTGGGTAGCTCTTCTAAAGTGCAAGCCTGGTGTGGGTTTACCACCCCCATGAAGTTGGGGTCACTGACTGCGCTAAATATGTGCATCCATATTCCCACCAAGGTTAGAGCCCTACTTATGTACTGTGCCAAAGCCTGAAGAGGACTTTTATTTTGATCTCACATCTTGAGACAGTGGGCTGTACAGACTTACTGCAGAGTTCATTCCCCAGCTGAAATTGATGAAAGCAGATTGAGAAAGGGCAGAGTCAAGGGCACTAAGGATACGCAATCAGACAGCAAGAAAGAATTGTGTCTGATTGCACCCGAAAGGGTTGCCTCATGAGAGCGATCTCCCTTAAAGTGACACTTCTGTTCATGCAGGAATTGCTCAAAATTACCCTCCCCCTAAAGATTACTACTGCCACTGGACAAAAAGTCCAGCTTTGGCACAGATCAGCATCGGGCCGGATAGTCTCCTGTTATGTCGGTGATCAAAGGGAATTTGCTTGCAAGGGGACACATGCCACAAGTGGTCCAAAATATGAATTATTTCCCTATCTGATCACATCCTCAGTTAAGAGCTGAGCACTTAACCCAGCACTGCCCAAATCTACACTTACCATATGAAACCAAGCAGGCATGTGTTACATACAGCACTGATGCTACCTGAACGCTGCCCAAATCTACATTTACCATATGAAACCAAGCAGGCATGCTCTACAACAGCATGAAAAGAATACAATTAAACTGATTTTGCCAATGCTATAAAATATAAAGTGTTTCTAAAATAATAGAGTAGTGTTTGTTTAAAATATTTTTACCCCATGTGTTTCCTTAAAAAAGAACCCAAGGCAACTTACATTAGTAGAAGGCAATAGTTGAAACCTAAAAACAGTATATACGAATATTACAAAAGAATCAAACAGATACTACGCAATAGTTAAAACCTAAAAACAGTATATACAAATATTACAAAAGAATCAAACAGATACTACTCTAATATGATAAATAAAATCAACACCAAAAAACATAAAAAACAACAAAGCACAAGAATCCATTTTAAAACCCTCTTTGATACCCAGTCACTCAAGGAAAGTCTGTCTCAAGAGAAAGGGCTTCACCTGCTTGTGGAAGGACGGCAAAGATGGGGCCAGTCTGGCTTCCTGTGGGAGGGAGTTCCAGAACCTGGATGTGGCAGCAGGAAAGGCCCTCTCCCTTGTTCCCATCAAAGCCTGTGAAGCCCGGCAGGTTACAATCAACACTCTGAATTGTGTCCAGAAATGGATCAGCATCTAGTGGAGGTGCTATAACAAGGGAATTGTGTGATTCCTGTAAGCAGGATTAGTTATCACCCTGGTTGCAGCATTATAGACGTGCTGAAGTTTCCAAACTCTTTCCAGAGGCAGCCCCTTGTAGAGCACATTAGAGTATTTGTTCTGGGTTTTTGGCCGAGTTCTGAAGGTTGTTCTTCCTGACGTTTCGCCAGTCTCTGTGGCCGGCATCTTCAGAGGACTGGAGTAGGAACTCTGTCCATGCTCTGGACAGCCTTCGAGAATACACATTACAGTAATCCAGCCAGGACACACCTAATGCATGTGCCACCATGGCCAGACCAGGAATGGGTGCAGCCAGTGCACTAGTTTTAATTGTGCAAGGGCACTCCTGGTCACTGCCAAAATGTGGGCATCTAGGCTCAGAGGCAAATAAGGACCCTTCATGGTTATCCATCCAAACTTTTCCCATTGTGGTGTGTACAGTATGTGAATTTATGGCCAACAGCCCCCCCCATCCCTTAAAAAGTAAAAGTTTGTAAGGCTTGAAAATCACAATTCAACCTGGAACCAGCCCTTCCTTTTAATTTTGATGATGTGGGAGTCAGCTGTGGCCATTCATCCAATAAAGGAAAGGCTCTGGGCACATGCTCAGAGATGTCACTCTTTTAACCTCACTTCCCATGTGCCATGGCTGAACTGACCGGCTCTTGCAGAAACCGACTTACTAGTCACTTACCCCTGGGTACAGGCCACAGGGAAACCTAAGTAAAATAAAACAAGCATGAACGAACAAGGCAGGGCCTCTGGGGCGCAGCATCCACAATTTGGAGAGAGCCACGAAGCTGGCTTGCTAGGTCTGCATTTGATGCCATTCTTGCCAAGCCAAGCTGGCCGGCGTGCCGTCTCCGCTTAGCCGCGCGCTCCGGAGATCTGCGCCTCTTGAGGGCGCGGGAGCGCGCAGAGCGGCTGGCGTTGCTCCCGAAAAAGACACGCGTGCCCAGCTGCCCTCGGATCGCTCGGAATGTAAAGCGCGAGGAGGGCCAGCGAGCGGCCTCTCTCTCCCTCTCCCTCCTGCAACAGCTGGACGACCGGCGGGACGCAAAGGGGCCGGCAGAGAGGATCGGCCCCGCGCAGTCCCCGCGTAACCCTTGGCAGGTTGGCTCGGAAGGGAGTCCGGATACTGTAGTTTCAGCGGGGCTTTACTCCCAAGGAAGGGTGGCCCGGCTTGGAATCCGTGTGGTCCTGTGGCGTCATTGCCCCAGAGTGTACCCCTGATCCAGTATATATCGCTTAGGGGGGAAAGGGGGGTGGGGGAGAGGTTTCTCCCTGGAGAGTAGTTTGTTTGTTTGTTTGTTTGTTCATTTAACTTATATGCCGCCCACTCTACCCAAAGGTCTCTGGGCGGCTTACAACAATTAAAATTCAATTAAAATACAATAAAAGATAAAATGATTAAAATACAATTAAAATTGCCATCAGGACCCACAGTTTCATGGGGAATGTCTAGGTGCGTGCTCAGCCGGCGCGTCCGAAATAAAAGAAGCGCGGTACGTTAAAGACACGAGTGCCTTGAGGAAAGTGCAGAATCAAACAAGGCTACCAGGTTGGAAGGGGCATTGACGGTGGCTCCCAAACTTGGGGGGGGGGCAGGAAATCTAGCCAGCAGAACCCATGGCCAGGACTTCTGGGAATTGTAGGAGAACCACCTCTGGACCCCTAAGTTTGGAAACCACTGGCACAGAGGGTGTGGGGCGATTATTTCTGGGTGTGGACAAAGCCTGTCTCCCAGTTTAGACAAAGCAAGACATTTGCCTCTAGCATCAGATTTTGGATGCCATGAAAAGACCTACAACAATCACCTATTTACTTTTAAATTGTTATTTTAGTTTCACTGCTGGGGATCAATATAGCGATGTGGGATTTTCTGCTTCTTGCTCTAAAACAAGTTGGCTGGCTTTAAATACTATGTTTCTCACCTTGGGTACGTACGAATCAACTTGAGATCCCTAGTTGTGAAAAATGAGCCATGAATTTATTTGTGCGTCTCTGCAGAAGATAAAAACATTATTTTGTTTTAGCATGATATGTAGTAAACAGACTTTATTCATTTCCCTGCACTCAATTTGTCCCTCAGCTGAGAATGCCAAGGAACCTAAGCCTTGACGAGCAGTATTCTCAGGCCTGCAAAGAACTGGCACAGCCGGAGAATCCATATATAGCCCATGTTCTTCGAGAAGTGAAACAGGATGATGACGCGTAAGTCAACAGCTATGGGGATAAAAGAAAATATTCTCGAACCTCCGGTAGGGTTTTTATGTTCTGTGTTTAAAAAACACAAATGTCTTTGCTAAAGTAGCCCACATTGTGCAGCAAGAAAATTTGAATTCTAAAATCTGTATTTTGTTTATGCTGTTATCTGCCTCAAATCATTTCCACTACCCCACACTGGCTCTCTGAAATCTGTTTCAAGTATGCAAATTATGCATGTTTGCCTAGATTGTTTTTAACCATCTGATAAATGTGCCTATATTAAACTACATAGGCATGAAACTTTCATACCTATATTAAACTACATAGGCATGAAACTTTGTAGATAACTGATGCTCTCTTAGCATTGCCACTGCTCTTCAGTTGCCCACGTGCATCAGATTCTGAGATTTTTTACATCTTCTGAGCTTTCTTCTTCTGAGCTATGTAGTAAAAAAGTGCAGATATACATATGATAAATAAATCTTTTTAACTAAAGTTAAACATCTGTGAGTTTATTAAATAATTGTGTTAGGTCTAAGAAAGACGAAACCCTTTCTGTTTTACCTTATAACAGGTTGGCCCAAAAAATCACTATAAAAATTGCTGGAAATAACCGCTTGGTACCTGTGCAGAAGGTGACAGATGCTGATTTTCAGATCATTGCTGTCATCTTTACAAACAATGCATTTCTTACAGGTATGCCTCCTTGTTGTAACCTTTGAAAGGGAAGTGCTGAGTCTCTCTCCCTCACCAACTATCATATATGTACAATGAGTACTCCTTGTGTTCAGTTACATTAATAAAAGTGTTTGAAATCTCTTTGCATTTAGTGAAGTGGATAAGCATTGAAAGCAGTCATGCTAATCAAAATTAGACTTGCACTTGGCCTGGATGAAGAACATGCAAATAAAAAGCCACCAAAAAGATTCTGTCTTTTTTAGTTTGCCATCTGATCCATGCCAGGCAAGATTTGTAGTGGAAAATATTCTAGAGCATAATAAAGTTGCATTTGTGGATTGCAATTCCAAGAATCCTCCACTGAACACTCCTGTTGAGTACCTGCCCTGGCTGGAGGATACAAAGTAAGTTTTCCAAGATCTGTATCCCAAGATTTCAAGCATATCTACCCCTTATTCTCTCCACACTCAGCCTGAAAAGAGAAGGAAGGTGTCAATATATCAAATTCCACCAACATAATAAAATCCACAGATGCAAGAGTTACTTGAAACATTATATGTGAAAGTACCCAGTATGTGATTTTTGTAAATGTGAAAGAGAAAAGATATTTGTAACATGAGTGAACATTCTGCCCAGTGAAGAATGTGGTGAACTGAAGCAAAAATTGCTTTAAACTGCAGGTAAAATAAAATACAGTGTGAGGGGATGAAAAAGGTGCACAGAAATTGGTGGTTAAAACCAGTGGATTGTAATAAAAGTTATTAAATTAAATGAATTGCCATAAAATGCATTTTTTGTTTATCGATTCTTTCAGGACTGGACCTGAGATACAACCTATTAACTGATGCAGGTGCGGTACACATTGCAGCATTCCTACAGGTACTACTTGTGAGGACCAACGATTGCTCTCAGTTGGGTATTCTATAACTGTGTTCACCTGATTGACACTTCCCAAAGTGATAGGATCAAAACCGATTACCTTGGGAGGTGGTGAGCACTCCAAATCTGGAGGCATTCAAGACAACACTGGACAGCCATCTTATCAGGTCTGTTTGATTTGGATTCCTGCATTGAGCAGGGGATTGGACTCCATAGCCTCGTAGGTCCCTTCCAGCTCAATTATTCTGTGATTCCGTGGCTGTTGGCTCTGAAAAAAGTCCATTATCTGTTGGAGAATGACAACATGCTGAATCTTGGCTCTTCTGCTTCTCCTAGTCAGCGAATGATGGGCTGTAAAAAACATAATCAGGGCTTACTATATTGTTAATATTCACAGTGGTGTGTATACACTTGATTTGTGCACTGAAGCTCTTGCCTAGTTTGAAAGCTCACAAGAGTTTAGTAAAAGAAAACTGGCTTCCTTCCTGCTGATCAGAACCAAGTATTTACCGTTTTCCCATTTGGGGCAAGAATCAATGGGCTGGTTTCAGTTGAAAGGATTTTGGAAGACACCTCATAATAACCATCAACATCCATTTGCATTTTAGGATAATCACAGCTTGCTTTACCTCAACCTGATGTTCAATGACATTGGTACCATTGGGGCCGAATTCATTGCGAAAGCACTTCACGTGAGTATTGGTCTGTTGTGAAGAGGAAGGGGCTCAAATGCATAAACTTAGTATTTGAAGCAAAATCCTTTCGAACGCAAAAATTGGTGTGGAAATCAGATTTGAAATAAGATTTGGGAAAAAAATGCTCTTCTGACAAAAATTGGTGTGGAAATCAGCAGATTTGAAATAAGATTTGGGAAAAAAATGCTCTTCTGTTGCTGTATTTTTCCCTAAGTGAAAAAAGAGCTCAATGTTGTCATGGTATCTAAGAGTGATTGGCTGAGCTCCTGTAGTGACATAGAGGGATGGGATAACCCATCGTGGTTCTGATGGCCACTGGGTGCACTAATCTGATCCTAGGAAAGCGCAACTGAGCAAGAAGTTCTTATTGACTTTGGGGAAAAAGAATCAGGGAGGCCCAGAAGGTGAGTGTTCATTCATAGCGTGAACTATAGTTGCATTCAGTAGTGAATTTTGCACTGTCATGAAAAGTAATTGTGACAAGGTAAAGTCCATCGCGTGGATTTGATTTTACGACTACAAGTCTTCTGACCTTGCAGCACAGAGGCTTCTGCGGTTTAACCCACAGCACCACCACGTCCCTCATAATTGTGACAAACAGGTAGGTTAATTGAACAGGCTCCTAAAGATATGTTAGCTGCTTATATCATGGCAGAACAGCCAATCAGGTAAGGGAAGGATATACATAATGGAGGGACTGTCTGATGGGGCTTGGTTAAAGAAGTGGCCAGTTAAGTTTGAACTTCGATGGGTTTTGTATGGAAGGGGTAATCATTTTGTGTTCCTCAGACTGAAAAAATATTTTAGAAAAGGTTAGGTAGGCATGCTTTTAAAATTGTTAGTAAAATCATATAACCATTTCTGTAAGAGCTTTTTTTTTAAGTGAAGGGTTCATTGCGAGAAACCCTATGTGGTGTTCATGTTGGTATGGTGAATCTTTATACCTGTTGTGAAATAAAGACTGTGCATTTAAATAAAGCTTCTTTTAAGTTTCATCCCTCTTTGGGGATTATTAAAAATACTTACTAATTTTTAATTAAATATTTTATTTATTTTAACATATTTAAATATTTATTAATATTAAATATTTATTTAAAAATAAACTTCTTAGAATAAGATTAGAATCTGCCTCAGTTTACATTTATTCCTAGGTCAGGGGATGAGTTAATACAAACCCTATAAAGATTAAATATCACCTATTCCAGCTTTAAAGTACTGTTAAATTATTATTGTTTATCACATAAAATGCAGAAAGTATGTGGAGTTGTGCTCATGGTTGCACTTGACCATGTTGTCAACTTCTTGCCTTTGATAATCACATTTAAATTTCTTATTTAGGAGCATAAGAAAATATCACCCAGCTTTAAAGTACTGTTAAATTATTATTGTTTATTACATAAAATGCAGAAAGTATGTGAAGTTGTGCTCATGGTTGCACTTGGCCATGTTGTCAACTTCTTGCCTTTGATAATCACATTTAAATTTCTTATTGAGGAGCATAAGACAGCTAGTATATATTGAGATGGGAAAGATGATGGTGATACTAGTTCTAGCTACCTAAAATGGAGATTCAAGGAGCTATAGCTATCGCTCTACATAAAATGCAGAAAGTATGTGAAGTTGTGCTCATGGTTGCACTTGGCCATGTTGTCAACTTCTTGCCTTTGATAATCACATTTAAATTTCTTATTGAGGAGCATAAGACAGCTAGTATATATTGAGATGGGAAAGATGATGGTGATACTAGTTCTAGCTACCTAAAATGGAGATTCAAGGAGCTATAGCTATCGCTCACCTCTCCGGAAGGAAGAAAATATGTCTCTCTGCAAGAGAGGGTCCAAAGAGAATATGGGTAGGAAACAAAGTGACACCAGGACCTTGGAAGAAAGCCAGTATGTGTGACAGCAAGTCAGAAAAACTTTGGGGAGCTCCATGCAAACACATGCATCTTCAGTGTAAGCTGAGTTGCACCTTTTCATCTCTATAAGGTTTACACAGTTAATGCTTAAAGCAACATTGTTGTTTAGTCGTTACGTTGTGTCCAACTCTTCGACCAGAACATGTCTTCCACTGCCTCCTGGAATTTGGTCAAATTCATGTTGGTAGCTTCGGTGACACTGTCCAACCATCTCATCCTCTGGCGTCCCCTTCTCATCTTTCCTTCACACTTTCCTAACATCAGGGGCTTTTCCAAGGAGTCTTCTCTTCTCATGAGATGGCCAAACTATTGAAGCCTCAGCTTCAGAATCTGTCCTTCCAGGGAGCACTCAGGGTTGATTTCTTTCAATATGGATAGGTTTGTTCTCCTTGCAGTCCAGGGGACTCTCAAGAGTCTCCTCCAGCACCACAATTCAAAAGCATCAGTTCTTTGGCAGTCAGCCTTCTTTATGGTCCAGCTCTCACTTCCATACACCACCACTGGAAAAACCATAGCTTTGACTATGCGGACCTTTGTCGGCAAGGTGATGACTCTGCTTTTTAAGATGCTCTCTAGGTTTGTCATCGCTTTTCTCCCAATAAGCAGGCGTCTTAATTTCGTGGCTGCTAATTTCAACATACAGCAACATACAGAAGCATATGTTCAGAATTCCAATTGAAAGCAGTGCTGTAGGCATAGACTCTCTAATGATAGGTGAACTGTAGGGTCCTTCTGAACTATGGGATTAACAGTATTGACCCCTTTTACTAAAGCTTGTACACATATTACAGGGTTTTTTGGGGGGTGTCAATCAATTGAGTTTAGGAGAGAGAGTTTTCACAACTTTGTAAATCCATAGGAAATTGCACCATTTCGCCAATTAGACTTGCAAGGAAATAATTGACTTTTCATGCCTAGAGGAATGAAACTCTCCTTCATCTGAGAATGACTGGCAACAAGATCGACAACAAGGGAGGAATGTATTTTGCAGCCATGATCCAGATTAACAACACAATACAGAAGCTAGATTTTGCAGACTGTGACCTAGTAAGTAAAACTGAACCGAAGCAATATTATCCTTTTTTTGATATGTCACCACAGGGAATCTAAGCGCCTTGCCAAGTTGTTTAACTGCCTTGGCTCACAGCCAGAAGGTTCTTAGAAGGGTAGTTGGAGACAAGGGATCCTCTTGTATGTTCAGAAAATCAATGGCTGCTGGAGCCTCCTGGGTCTAGCAAGACAGAGTATGGAGGGTCACCAGAGACAGACACAACAGTGTTTAGTTTGCTACCCAGTCTCCTCCCTTGGACAGTCTAACAAATTGTACTCATACTATGTGAACTGGGGGTTAGGTGGGTGTTGTGGTGCATGTCCAAACAGACAGACCACTGTTGCAGAGAAGGTATGACTAATGGGACTCACCAGCTTTCTCTATGTCTGTTGTTTATTTCCAGGGCACACAGAGCCTTATAGCATTAGCTACAGTATTAAATCACAATGAATCAATCAAAGCCATAAATTTGAACAGGCCAATACTGTACAGTGAAGAGGTAAGCATCGTGGATTTGCAGTAGGGCATAGAAACCCAAAATACTTCCAACAAGAAGAGCTGTAGTAAATACACATCAGAAAGAAAAGAATAATATTTTGCTTTATTAATGTCTCTACAACTTTCATCTTCCCACATTTGCTTGCCACACAACTTTCCAAGGTCTGTAGATGACTAATCTCCAAAACATAAAATTGTAGGCAACCAGATTTTCAGTATGATCAGCATAAAAGAAGCATACCAGTCTATTTTTCCACATGTATATATATTCACATTAAACAATACTTCTACATGTAATAACATTTACCTCAGATCAGAATAACGCCCCACACTCCAGAGGTATGTACTCATAATGGCATTTGAACTCTGATGTGGATTTTATGTTACAACAGAATTTGGTGGATGAAACATCTCACTAAGAGATCAGAAAAACTGCCTTTTTGGACTGTAACTCTCTGAATCCCCAGTATCTGGGGGATTCTGAAGGTTGTAGTGCAGAAAAGGAGCTTTTCCATCCTCTGGTCTGACATCAGGTGTTGCACCCATATCTGCAGAGCAGCACACTTTTGTCCCTCTTGAGCTGACTGAATGTGTCTTCTGAGGCAGGTATGTTGTACATTCTCATTATCCCTAGAACATCTTATTTTCAAGTTTTAATTTCAAGTAATATTGAACTTTAGGAAGAGACCACAGTCCACACAGCCCTCATGTTGAAAGCTAACAGGACCCTTGTTGAATTGCATTTATGCAAACATGAAATGAAGAATTTTGGTGTTGAACGTCTGTGTGAGGCATTATATGGAAACATCACCCTTCGATATCTTGATCTCAGCTGGTAAGAGTGACCTGAATTGCATGGGTTGTGGGGTTTTGTTTGTTTGTTTTGAGGTTAGAACTGTACACGTAATTACAACAAAATGTTGCAGCATGGAGTGCTTCTGGCTATAATCGTTGCTGTACCGTGCCACCCCTCACATTCTCTGTTCCATCCCAACATGTCTTATAAGCATGCTCAGTCCTCATTCAGCTATCCTGGGCATCTTCTATTCAGGGAAGGGAATGTATTAACTAATTGTAGCAACCCTAGACCTACTGGAGTATCCCACCCTGTAGTTATGCTGCCACCAACCATTCGCTCTCCCAAGTCACCCAGACCAAAATTGATTGTCAGCAAACTTACAATTCCCCATTTGTTCTCCACAAGTCTGCTCATTCTCTCCCTCTTGAGACTTGGATGATGCACTTCCTTCCTTCCTTCCTTCCTTC